TTGTTTATATGAATTGTCTTAATCTCACAGTATGAATCATTTTGAGTATATTCTTCTAATTATTTTCCTTTACATGTAATTATTGAATATCTTCGGATCTGAACATTAGAATTCATATGACTGATTAAAAAGCTTCGCTCCCATTGAGTGATAAGTTTCGCCTCCTTCATTAGAAAAAAAAAAAAGCTAAACTGGAAGTTCTCAAGTTATATCTCTGTCCCTTAATTCTAAAATAATGCATTTATTTTATTGTTTTTGAAGGGAAAAAATCCCTTGAGTAAAAAAAATATACATATAAATATTGAATCTAAGGTTCATGACAACGAAATTAAATAAATACTAGGTCTCACATTCATAATTTTAAAAAAATAGTTAAGTAATATGCATGAATGATTACTGCAATGTTAAATTCATCAATTTTTACATTTGCGAGAAATAAGTAAGTACATCTTGATCTCGACCGAGTAGGGTTTAATACAAACAATGAAGGTACCCGACATGAGAGTTTTAGTTCCACTTATGTGGTGTGTTGCTCATGTCTCGGAAGTAAATTAATGTAATAGTCAATATATTAATTAAGATATGATACTCGTGTTTCAAAAAAAAAAAAAGTTATTTTAAAAGATAAGGATGTGGTCGAGAAAAAAAACATGTTCAACTCTTATATTAGGATGTAGGGATTAGTGGGAATAATGATTTCGGATTCCCGATAAATTTATTAAATGAAGATTTAAATGAAAATCAGTCTTACTGAAAATTATCTTATGATTTTCATATCAGAAAACAAACATGAAGAAGAAGAGGAAACATAATGTAGATTTAAACGAGGATCAGTATACTCTTATTTAAAATTATCTTATATATGATTCTCCAATAAAAAAGAAAAACAAGGAAGAAGAAGAAGACACGATCTAATTTGGTTAATGTAACACTCAATGAGCGAAGAGAATTAGTATATTTTACCCTTACTCGAATTCAAATCAGCCAACACTGAATCGGAAAACGGGTGTGCACCCTATCGAGATGCATTTCCTTGTTTTAACTTCTTTTAGTTTTAGTTTGGTCAATCTTACCGATGCTCCAAAATTATGTCGATCTGATCAGCATGCTTTTAATTACTCATCAATTGATTTCCTTGTCGTAGTAGCTGTGAGATGTGGCACCCCTTTTTCTGCGTAAGATTCAAATCAAATAAATACGAGTTCGTGACAGCATTATACGTAAATAAACCATGTCCCCGCCTATGAACTTCAAGTGCCCTTCAGCTGGCTCTGATAATGTGGAAAGGTCCCATCTTAACTTCGTCTGGTTTAGTCCCAAAAAATCTTTGCATGGTACACTGCCCTATCTAGTTCTAGATGAAGAAGAAAAAATGAAGCCAAAAAAAAAGAAAAAAGAAAAAAAAGCGTTACAAATTAAAATCAACTGTGATTGAATATCTCCAAAACTATATTAATTCTGATACAACATTCTCGATTAGTTCATGTGGGAACAACTATAATCTCGTCACTGAATACTTTATTTAAGATTCAAATTTTAGAATTCATATGAAAAAAAAAGTAACACGTGAATTATTGATTGAACCATTTAATTTATGTTGTGGCTGTAAGGGTGAATAATTTTTTAGAAAAGGATAAAAAAAATATAATTGTCTTAGCATTGTCCATATACACTTTGAAGACCATGCATGACAGACATTCTTCAAAGCACCCCAACAACCTTCCTTACAAAATACTTGGCTTAGCCATCCCCAACAAACCAAAGAAAAAGCCAAGAAAATGATTGTTCTCACATGACCCCAAATCAGTAAAAGAATAGAAACTTGGTGGACTTCTTTTAAAAAAAGTAGTAAAAAAGGTGGACTTTCAAATTACTCAGTCAGCAATTGCACCGCACCCCCCCCACCCCACACACACACACACACACAGAGAGCAGCAAAACCGATGCAAAATCTGACCTCTTTTTCACTTCTCTCTCTCCCTCTCAAACTACAAGGCAAATTTAGCACAGAAACTCAAACAAACACACATCTTTTTCTTCCCCTTGGAATTCATCAAAATTTTTACACACTCAAACTCACACTATATCAGGTCAAAGAAAAAGGTCAGCATCCTTTTTTTCGGCATCGGGATTTCCATCCATGCCACCATGACCCGCAGCCCTAGTTACAAGCTCCAAATGAGATGGAGATGTCTTCTTCTTCTTCTACTTCTTTTCTTGCTTTTTCAAGTGGAAGCTGCACAAAATCAAGCAGAAGATAATAGATTCAGCAGATTCAAGTTTGGTATTTCAGGACCACCTTCTTTAAGGGTTCTTCATCATCATCATTCCATGAAAACACACAAAGATTTTAGAAGAAGTTCTCCTTCAGACAGAAGTAGTACTGTTCATGTTGGTGAAGATGGTGATAAACTTTTTGGTGGCCAGCTGAGAAAAGTGTATACAGGTCCAAATCCTCTACACAACAGATGAGTTTAATTAGGAACCCCCAGAAAATAAATTATTTTCGCATTTAAAGCTGTAATAAGAACAATTTTTTTTTTTTTGTTAGTATAATTTTTTCTGACTGAGCAATATTCTTTTTTTCCTTGATCTGATTTTCATTTTGCCCTCAGTTTTTGTGTTTGAGGATATATTTATATAGATTTGTAAATTGGCCGCGCTGTCAATATAGTTTCGTAAATTTTGTATGAAATTGCTCCTGCGTATGTTTTTTTTTTTCTTGCTTTTGATGATAAAAATAAATTTTGAATTGCATCTTAACACTTTGCAGAAAGACTATTACCGTTCTGTAATAATAGTCTCCTTTATAATCTTAAACAATCTTAGTAACATAATCTCACCGCCTAAGTTTGTTATATTGTTTTAGATCCACAAAATGTATTACTTCATCTGTCTAAAAATTATTGTCCAGTTTAAGATTTTATTTTTAGTACAATTTGAATTAAAAATGAAAATTTAAACTAAACAATAGTACAGGGGGAGTATTAAAGTTCGACAGACGGGGTTATACTATGGTTTCTTACATGGAACCGTATGTGTTAGACTCGCACAAGTCACAATATTCATCTATTGCTCTACAATAAAAAATAAATTAAACGAAATTCAACACTTTTTTTTTTTTTGCTTTTTTAATTGTCAAGCTTATTAATTTCCCTTTTGATCTTAAAAGGTAAAATTTTTGCTTCTTGTCGGGCTACACCGATTCTCCATGTATGTAAATGTAAAAAGATGGGTTGATTTTTGTTTTTTTTCTTCACTTAAAAGAGACATCACATTCATAACCAAAACTACTTGATGGGATACAATTAAATGGCATTGAATGCCATTAATGTTTGGGTTGATGTAATGAATAATGGTCAGCTGCTTTTAAAGTTTACCTGGTGATTATTCCCTTGCAGGCATTCATTGATATCATTGGTATTATTACAGGGTAAAGTAAAATGTTCTTTTTTGATTAAGAGGACATTAAAACAGGTTTAAAAGAAGTTATAATTCCACAAACAGCTACTCCTAGCCAGGAGCCATCTTGTTCTTGTATCATAAATTGATTTGGAAAAAAAAAAAATTACACTATGAATCCAGCGAAAAAAAAAATTGAACAAATTACACTATAGATCGATCCATACTTGCCAAACCCAGAACTTACCATATTGGGTTGTAAACAATAACGACATACGACGATATTCATCTAATGCGGTTTGGATACACTTCCCCATGACAAATTCGCTTAAAAAAACTGTCAAAATATTTGATAGCAAAGATAACATGCATCAATATTAACGAAAATTTTTGCGCTTTTATTTCTACTATGACCAACTACTAAATGGCCAATTCTACTTGTAGATTCACTCAAGAAGTAAATTATCTTCTTTCTCGACTCAAAATGATCATTGCCATGTTTATTATGCTAAAATATTATGCAACAATAAATTAGACAATTATTTTAGAATGAACACAGTATGTAAAATCTTAAAAGATAGCAAACAAAATAAGCTCCAGAGTCATTACCATTTTAAAAAACAAACTATTAAGCTCTCAATTCTTCTTATTTCAGTTGATTTTAAGTACTACTTTACAAGAACAAAGAAAACTGCAATCTACCTACAAATTCATGAGAGACAGCTAGCTTTCTTCTTCTTTTTTCTTTTTTTGGAATCTTTTTTTTTTTAATCCCTTTTTTGTTCAAGAGTGGTATATAGCCCAACGGTTTAGGAAAAATATATGAAGAAATAAGTAAGCAAAAAAAAAAATTAATATTAGAAATCAATCATATGGCCATTTAAAAAACTAATGGAAATTAGGGCGACGAGATAGATTAATGGTTATAAGTGAAGTATGCCATAATTTTTTTTGGCTTAATTAACAATTATCATATATACTTTTTGAAAAGTGGTCGCATTTACTTTAATCATGCAAGTTTCGCTTGATCACCTTTAAAAAAAGTTTTAACCAAATAAAATGAAATGGAAAAGCTTGTTAGCGACTAATTAGTGTGTGCATCACCGATGTAGTTTGTCACACGTAAAAAAGAGTAAAGATATAAAGTTTCGATTATGTTATTAAGTTAATGAGGGTGATCATAACATTTTTACTAGCTTAAGTGGCTGAATGTGTCGAATAAAAAATTTATGGTGGTTAAAATTGGCTACTAAAAATTTTTGGTGGCTTGGCCTGTTATGAGACCATAGTTTAGTGGTCAAAGTGAGTTTCATCCGTTAAAAAAAAAATGCATAAAAAATTTATTAAAAAAAAAGTGTATTAAGGTGGTATATCATTTAATTTAAAATAATATAAAAACCTAATAAACACCGTAAAAGAAAGGAAACAGCCAAATAAATGCACAAATTATCCTCGAAATAATATGTTTTGGGGGGAAAAAGTCTATTTTGGCCAAAATTTTGAAGGCTTCAGTTCAGAACCACGCTTTCAGACGATTTTATAGTGAAAAGGAAGGTATATATATTCACGAGTCACGACTTCAAGCTGCATTGCATACGCCTAGATGAAAAACAATGACCTTTTTTTCCAACCAAAGTCTTCCCAGGTGCGCCATTAAAATTCAACTTCGTTTTTCCAATTAGTGGAGTTTCACTCAATACAGCGCAGCATTTGAGGCGAACCCAGAAAATACTTGCAGCCCAGCAATCGGTACAGTTTCCTTTTCCCAGCATTTTGATGCAATTCTGTTTTAGTTTTGTCGTTAAAGAAACTCTCTTTATCCTCTGTTTGGGGCTAAATTTCTAAAGGGTTTATAGTTAGGAGATTGATTCATGTGTTTTCCCTGCAAAAAAATGGTTTGTTCATGGAAAATTGGTATTGGGGCCCTTAATTTCTATGAACCAGTAGTTATTACAAAAGGGTTTTTTTTTTGTTCCGCTGCGAGGGCAAGATTCTTGTTTTAATGTGTTTTTTCCATCAGAAAAAAATCAATTGATGTCCCAACAATTTGTGGTTTATTTATACACGAGGCATATAGCTCTCTTGAGGGAAAGGAACTTCTATTAGGATCAGGTTGATCAAATACAATTTTAATGAGGTTGGATCGTTGAGGATTGAGATGAGAATTCAAGTTTGGAACTTTTTTCATTCTATTTGGTTTTTAAATTAGAAGGCTTGCCGATAGAACAAAAATTTGGTGCAATGCAGAATAGTATGTAAGGAAAATGCCGGTTATGCGCTGCGGAAACGGGCTACATCCTGTTTTTTGTACTTCTGCAAATCATTAAAAACTTTTGGGAATTACTCACGATGAGTCATGGATGGAGCTAGGACCCCTTTTTAACATCGTGTGTGCACCTGTCAAACTTATGGACAATGTCACCTTAACATTCTGAATTTGGGTATTGTGATCAGAGCTATCTGCGTTTCAAAGCGGAAATCATCATTATTTTGATAAATATGTTCTGCTATTTTTCTTGATCCTTTCCCTTGTGACTTGTGATGGATATTCATGAATGCATGTTCCAGAGTAATTCATCTTATGGACAACATAGAAGTTAGTGCAAAGCCTTCAGTTTCGGTAGAAACTTTTGTAATATGCTGAATTGGTGTTTGGGTTTTGCAGTGCAATATCCAATATTAGAACAGGAATTAGAGAGTTTTGATAACTGTAGATAAGAGCACACAAAACACAAACGCTCTATGTCAATTATAATTAGTCTAAGAACAATGGCGGAAAGCTTGTTATTTGTTTGTACCATATTAATGATTAGACTTATATTCTACTTAGTGGAGAAGGTCTTTGGTGAACTTGAAATTTGGTGACTCCATCTCCTTGAGCTGAATTTGTAGTGCTAGTTTGTACCTAAAAGCTTGTAGTTTGATGGTCAGGAATGAATGAAGAAGTCAGGTTAGACAACATAAAAAATGAATCTTTTGTAGAGCTAGATTTTGCATCTAAACCTTTTTGTTCTTAGGTTAACATTCTTCTACAAGCATTGTATTCATCTACTTCATCACCAACCTTGATTGTACAAGGAAACAAGAGTAGTTTTGGTGTGCCTTTGTGGTGAAAGGTTTTTTCAGTTTGAGGCGATTGTACTAGGAAATGACAGAAGTTTTGGTGTCTGGTGAAATGATTTTTTATCAGTTCGAGGTTATTTGAGACAATTTTTCAGCAAATTGTGTTTCAATTAGACATTATTGCTTTGTGTGGAAAATTGTGCACTGCCATATGATTCCTTACTCTTTACGTCGAAAGCAAAAAGGGTGGTGTGGGTTATTCTATCTTGCAGTTCCCGAGATCACAATATTCTGATGTAATAGATGTAGTTCATATGTCGAGATGTATTTGATTTATCATGTTTTGGAGCTGCCCTTCTCCTCCTCATTTCAGTGATAATGTTGTAGGAAATGAAATGCGCATGTCTCAAATTGTGGGAACCAATGTGCTTGGTGGGTAAGTTAAGTATTAGTAGGATAAGCATTTAATTTTATTAAAACTAGGGGAGAAAATGGTATTTCAGGAATGAAGCTCCTCAATCCGGTTCACTGAAGAAAGTTCAGCTGAAGTTTGTTTTTTTAGTTGTTTAGTGGCAATCAGGTGTCGTATTGAATTGTCAATGATCTGGTGCTTTATTTCAGAATGGGGAGTTGTGGACACATAAAACACTAACACATTATTTTTAGGGAAGCTCTAAGGCACATTTCTGTACTACTAAGATTTTTACGTTGGAAACATACTGGCAATGACTTGATAGGAACAAATGGCCGAAGGTTGTTGTAGTGTAGAAAAGGCGAGGTAAAAAATATTCCAGCTAAGGTCCAGACCGCAGAATCTGATTTAGCATGCTCTGGATGATAAGGTGCCTGTTTGGGAGGTTGGCTGACTTCCAAAACTTGTTTAAATCAACTTTTAAACAGACGAATCTATTGTTTATTCTTTATAATATCCTACTGTCAAAGGTAGGTCAATAAAGTTCTGGTTTCCAGATAGTTCTTGGGTTCTAGGGTATATAATGCTTATTAGGCAAGATTTATCTTTTACCGACTGTGTCTTGATGGATCTATCTCCCTTGATTTTGGTGTCGTATTCTACAAATTATGTACCTCTCTAAAAGTGCTTCATTCCAGGAGTTTCTTGTCTCACTTCTGGGCTATGGTTGCTTTTTCTTGTTTGCTCTTTTTTTGTGTGTGTGTGTGTGTGTGCTTCTTCTAACATATTATCCTGTGTTTTTCTCATTTGACTTAAGTAAACCTTTGGAGATTTATTAATTGCATTACGAGTTGTATTTCATTGCAGGTGATTTATTTGGCCCAGAAAGTTATATTTGGTCGTCGTTGTTGTTGAGATAAACTTGGTTGTCATTGTTCACTGGTTCATTTTCAATGACTTCAAGGAAAAATCTGCCACCACCATTTGAAGATAATGCTGCGCCAGCTTCAAATTTTATTCGCATTGGTGCATCTTCAGGTCATCGTTCAATGGATCATTCTGACCGTTTAGAGGATAGGTTGGCTGTTCGGGCCTTGGATATCAAGCAACTTTCTGAAGATAATCGTCGCTTATCAGCCACTCATTTAGCTTTAAATCAGGATGTTGTTGCTGCTCAACAAGAAGTAAAGAAACTTACAGACCATATTAGAAGCATGCAGGCTGAAACTGATATCCAGATTCGAATATTGTTGGACAAGATTGCAAAAATGGAAGTTGATATTAGAGCAGGTGAGAATGTCAGGAAGGAGTTACAGCAAAACCTTACTGAGGCACGGAGCTTGGCATTAGCTAGAAAAGAATTGATTAACCAAATTCAGCAGGGCTGTCAAGAGCTAGAGAAAACACGTGCCAATATCAAAAAGTTACCAGAAATGCAAGCTGAACTCGACAGTTTAAGGAAAGAACATGACAAGTTACGGTGAGTACAAATAGATGATCCTCTCTTTGTTGTATAGTTTACGGCTTACCAAGTATTGACCTAGGCCCTTTCTTTGCATTGACATGAAAGATATCCTTTGATACAATATATTTGGATAATGCTCCCTTTAAATCACAAATATGTTTTAGCTTTATCTGTACGTGGAGAAATGTTGGAAGGTTGATGACGCTTCACTTGGATAACAAATGTGGATTAGCTTTATTTGAAACTGTATAAATGTGAATACTGCTTCACTCTTCATCCTCGATGAGTTCTTAGCTACTTATTCTGTGTGTTGATGTTTTTGTGTTTCTTGGTAAACTGTGAACCATGTCTTTCTTTCTTGACATATGTTGCATTTCCTTGTTGACAGTATGTAATTGATGATCTGACAGTTAGTTATTTTTTTCCTTTTTTCCCTCGGGCCAAAGCACGACCTTTGAATATGAAAAAGGCAAAAACATGGAGAAAGTTGAAAAAATGCGGGTAACTGAGAGGGACTTAGTGAGCATGGCTGCAGAAGTGGACAGACTGCGAGCTGAGGTGTTTAGTGCTGAGCAAAGAGCGCAAGGTAACAGTCTCGTGCTTTGACATCTAACAAGGTTTTGTTTGCTTCTGTGTTCTTACAATGTTCCTTGTGCTGGCCATGCTGGCTGTTCTGCAGTTTCTTCCCATCCTTACGCTGGGCCATACAGCCATCCAAATGCTTTGTACCCGGCTTCCGTACATGGCAGTGGTGTCTATGTTGATAATTATGGAAGGCCCCTTCAGATGGGTGCCGGGCCTGTATCTTATGGCGCGATCCCATATGGTGCTCCTGCTCCTGCCCCTGCTAATGTTCCTATGGTAGCTGTAACTTCAACTGCTGCTGGTGCTGGTGGGAACACTTCATGGGGTGGAACATATAATGCTTCTCATGCTCCGGGTTAAAAATAATTAGCCACTTCTTCTTTGCAGATTGAAGCATCTAAGATGTAATTTCTGACAACTTCCTGTCGTTTCAACTTGGACAAAGACAGGTCAGTTGGTCTGTTTAGGGCAAATGTGGGCTACCCTAATCCTGAAATGTATAGCTGTAAAATTAGCAGGTTCAAGGTTTTCAACCCGGTGGGGGGTTTGGTCTTGCATTTTACGCGGGTTTGAAGCGCTTATCCTTGTGCAGTGCCATTTATGGATGCTTGGTTGAAGGGTTGGAATGAAATGAAATGAAGGCTATTCGATGGGTGTCCGAAATGTCAATCGAATATTGTGTCTTAAAAATAGGGCAGGAGGAGAGGCACTCTTGACACTTCTGTTGCGGAGGTGTTTGTAAAGTTGTTGATGTTGATGCACAAATAGTTTCATTTTGTTATTTCACCTTGGAATCACCATGGGTGAGATCTTCTCCACCCTTTGAATATGTAAAGTGGTTCAGGTTATAGAAATGCTTTTGACAAGCTACCATTGTAAATTCCTCCATTTCATGATAACAATTAATTTTTAAAATTAATTACAATAATTTCGAGAAATAAGTGTCCGTTCATGGTGTTGCTGTTGATGACAGTATCTAACTTTACTAAGTAAACTTGATCGGAATGAATGAGCCATTCATTAGTGAATTTGTGAAAGGGCGAGAAAGAGGTCTTTGCATATACAACTGCATTTTGTGCAGCCTTGTACAAGATTAGAACCACTGCTCTTGAAATAAATAATTTAATTAGATATCACATCTATATCTAATTTTCTTAAATTTTGATATTCACCTCTAAACACTAACGGAACTAGCACTCTCTTTTGTAGTTGACTAAATTAAGAACAGTTTAAACTTGTTTTCAACCACAAAAAAAAAGCACAAAAAACACAAAAACAAGAAGAACGAAAAGAAAGAAATGACAGTCAATTAAGCGTGGAACTTCAGTGCGATGTTACCGTACCATTTTAATTGACAATGGTAAATTTATGCTCTCGTTAATCAATCATGAATTAGACATCCTGGTACATTTTTATGCTATATTGTATTATTCAAAAATTTGTAAAAATTCTAGCTCTTTCTCCAAGTATAAACTAATTACACCTGTAAATAAACTATATATTGTTATGTAAATTGATTAAGATTAATAGTCAAACCTTGACATGTTAAAAAATTATGGAGCTTTTCTTAAGTATTTATTAGTCTGAGTTCATGTTTATGAGTTTAATTAGTTGAGGAATTCAGCAAAAGAAACTAGAGACTGGGTTCAAGATGAAGGGTTGGCCATGGAAAAATTGAAAGGGCAAACGAAATGAAAAATGACAATTAATTAATTCTATTTATAATACTTAGAATAATAAAAATTGTATTTTCATGTTATTGTAATATACGATATACAAGAGTATATATATACAATAATAAACCCTATACAAAATATTACTACCGTAAATATAATTATTATGATAATAATTATTGAAGTTCGTATTCCAAACTGAAATTACTAATACCTACAACCTTGGACTCTCGACAAATATTTTCCTTCGTGATCCTATAGGTAGGGAGTAATATAATACGAGTTTTAGTATTTAGAAAGAAAGTGTTTATCGTATTGGGGTGGATAATAACTTTGCAAAGTGAAGAAAAAGATCTTTCCGTACTAGTGCATTTTGCACAACCTCGAGCGATTGAAATCAATGTTTAATCTCCTTGAATTTGATATTTACACCATGTTTAGATTAAGATAGGTCTCCCTTCTGTAAGCGGTTTAGATAAATACACACATTATCTCAAAAAAAAAAAAATTCGCATTGAGTTTTGAGATTTTTAAAATTATTTTTTTAAAAAAATAAGGAGCAACTTTTTAATTTTCTTCTAACTAAAAGAACAGAAAAGAAAAATGACGACCAATTAGCGCGGGACTTCAGTCTGGAATCGTATAAATTGAGACAAAATGTATAATTGTAAATTTAAGTTTTTTCAAAAAAGGTTTTGATATTTACACATTGAGGTGTTGATCATACAAATGGTTTAACCATCATGAAACAGAATGATCAGGTTAGGTGGCCTAGCCGCACAAGATCAGAAATCTTGTCTCAGGGTTCATAGATGTTCCGACTTCCGTGTATCCTTTTTCAGTTTGCGATGCCGAGGTTCCCATCCACTTGAAGAATGAGAGCGCGCTAAAGCTTTGAAGCATTCGCTGGGATTTTACTGAGGGCGACGGCAACCTTAGAACCAGGAGACCGACCTAGATGCTTGCAAATGAAATTGCCAGCTAGCATAACCTTCCGGAGATCTACATTTGTCTTTACTCCTAGTCCATCAAGCATATAAATGACATCCTCAGTGGCAACATTTCCAGAAGCACCCTTCGCGTATGGACAACCACCAAGACCCGATACAGCAGAATCTACAATGCCGATTCCCATCTGCAGAGAAACTACAGTTAAACCAGTATCTTGCCTTGTAGCAGCTCTTAAGCAAAAACAAAAGGCTAACAAAGATCCTACTACTTTTAAGGTGATAATCATCAGTTTGGTGAACTCTAGGCCAATTGGCATCCGGCATCTGGCATTTCGAAAACTTTCGAGAAGTAACAGTGAAAACAGCATTGCATATTCTACACCATATGAACTTCGCAGACCAAATTCATGAATAAGAACAATGTAATTCTGTTTGTATAAACGCATCCTTTGGAGTATGTAGTCCCTAACTTAAAGGACATTCAAGTGGGATATGATTTAGAGACCCTCTAATTGAGAGCGAGTTTCAGCTTAACAAAGAGAGTAAATCCAGCTTACTTGGAGTGACACAAGAATATTTGAAAGTGCTTGCCCATATGTATCATGAAAGTGGACGGCAAGCTTCTCCACAGGTACAACTTCCATTACAGCTTTAAGCATGGGAATGACAGTGCCTATCAAGAAGAAAAGAAAGGAAAGGGAAAAACATATTCAGATCTGTAATTTAGCAGGAAACCATCAACAAACAGAGCATGTGCTCATTTTCCATAAAGGGCTGTGTGTGTGAAAAATTCATATCTATCTTAAAGGTGGATTAAATGTACTATCACATGACATTTTACATGTTTACACTGGCAGCCTGAGGTAGAACTAAAGAACTAGTTGATGAATAGTAGTATCACATGACATTTCACATGGCAGCTTGAAGTAGAACTAAAGAACTAGTTGAGTTCAAGTGCAGTTAGTGAAAATAACCAAAATGAAACATCTTCAGCTAAAGAAAACCTATAGTTCTAATTTGTCGAAAATTATACGAGACTGTTAGGACCTAGTTCTCAAAACCTTATCATTAGGAAAAGAATATTGAACAAGAACTAAATGTTGAAACATCATGGAACTAAAAACAGCAACAAACATATTGTTCAAGAGTTTCCCGTAGGATTATTGTTTTCAAACAACTAACTGCCAGATAAATGGTCGTAGTCCTTGTGCCAAATGAAGAAGGTTTCGTTTGCATTTGAAAAGTGCTAACAAATAGGAAGCTCTCATAATTAAAAATAGCTACTGAACTAATGTTCTGAAGGCTGCTATTTTCCCAGCTGCAGCAATTAAAATAAATCTTCATCTGCAGGGGTGGTGGGGTGGAGGAGGAAAGAAAAAGATTAACAATTATGTATTATGACCATGCAAATCTGTTGACTGCCATACTACAAGCCTTCATTAGATCCATGGTTTTCTCTTTGCCTTTAGAAAGAGGCCAGCTTGGGCAGGTATCACGATTTTTATTGATTCATATTGAAGAACTAGTCTCCTACAGTTTGCTATAAAATCTTATTTTCCCACACTTATAAAAATTAGTCCCCGGCAATACTTGGATAACAAAAATTATTCCAGTATCAAACACTTTTAATGTGTTCATTAACAACTGAAATTTACCTTAATGGTGATGGTGTCAGCATAATGAAAAGGGTTCAAGTTCTTTCTCAGGAGAAAATTTCCTTCTGGTCCAGAATTATCCAGTGACTTTTACAATCCCTTGAAGTTAAAATAACCCTTATCCACCTTTAACGTACCATTATAATGACATTTTCTCCTTTTCAAACAGTTATGTTGTGAAGGACAAAATTAAACACCAAAAAGTAGAGAGATATTCATTGAGTCATCACTTTGAGCAACATACTGGCACCTAATGTCTTAACAACAATGATATATGGCGTGAAAAACAAAAAAAAAATCAGCATTTGGATATATGAAAAGTGTAGCCACTAAAAAAGAAAATAAAAAGAAAGCCTTTGCACATCTACAAACAATCATATGTTCAACTGCTCAACTGCATTCCCAAAAGAAGCATATGAGAAGAAAATCAACATAAAAAAAGAGTGTTACAATTAAGACAACCATGCATCGAATCTGACAGCTAACCCAAAATAACAAAAACTGCTAGTCAAAATGTTTGAACAAAGAGAGAAATGTACTAAGCATCGATGCCAGCCTTGATGGTAATCCAATTTCAATGTAAAAGATCATGGTAATAAGTTTACAGTAATCAACCCAAAGAGACCAAATCCCAGTGGTTCCTGAGATGTCAAGTTATAGATCAAGAATTATGTTCAGGTCTGTAGTTTTAGTAAACCAAAAAGATAAATCTACAATTTACACCTGCTCTATGATTCCCATCCAAAATAAAAGAAAACGGGCCAGCTAAAGGGCCTCTTTGTGTAATTGTTCTCATTTATGGCCTTAGAGACAAACTAAGCCAGTGTATTCTCTTGAAGTAGGTGAAAATCCAATGCAGCTTTTCACTGTTCCTTTTTCTAATGCTTTCTGAAAGACTCTGTTTTTTCATAGAGCTGATCAAACCTATGATAATTCTTCAAGCAAACAATAAAATGACAGAACTGCCGAGAGAACTTGCACAGAATGGAAAGAAATGAATTAAGTGTAAATTAACGTGAAAATGGGACAAAAGTACTACACTCAATAGAAAAGGCATTACATGGAGGTTTATGACTTACCCGGAGTTCCAACTCCAATTGTATCACCAAGGGAAATTTCATTACACCCCATGTCGATAAGTTCTTTAGCTACGTCAACTACTTTTGATGGTGGTACTGCGCCTTCCACTGGACAGCCCACAACACAAGATATATACCTGAAAAAAATATTTGACAAAATGACAAAAATTATATGAAATCAAACTCCGCTTACTCGAGGCATTAAACAAATGACAGCAAGATCTTTGAGCAATTCTAAAAGAGGACCTACATAATCAAGGGTCTCATTATGAGCACTGAACCTGATCCTGAGAGCTACCAGCTCTATCAGTCACACAGCAGCTGGTTTGCTCTCAGAGACATACAATTTAAACATAGGAAACATACACTTGATCAGCAACCATCTCAATATTGTAGGAAAAAGTATCTGCCTTGACCTAACCCCTAAAAGAGGGAGTCTATGATTGAGGTTATTTTATAGTCAAAGAACTTGTATAACAGAAAAAATGAAGGTTATGCAGAAATATATTATGGCACTTTTAGAATTAAGTTTAAACAAAGCACTCAATTTCTTATCACAAAAACACGGTACACAACACATTTGGGTTACAGTAGTATACAATAAAGCTCAACAGAACCAACCTCTCCTTTCGACTACAGTGATTATGAAATGAAGATTTATTTTGAAAATTTGGTGCTGTATGAAAAACCCCAACTAATCTTTACTGGAATAGTTTAAAGGAAAAAGAAATCCCCACCCACGGACAGGAATAGATCTACTTTTGGCAGCAGAAGCAACGTCACGATAGCGACTGAGACTATCTTCAATACTACAATTTAAGTTTGACCTCGAGAAAGACTCAGAAGCTGCAGCAAAGATAGCCACTTCCTTGGCTCCAGCCGCAAGTGCAGCCTCAAAACCCTGGAAGAAAGTTCAATTAAGATAAACAAACAAGGAAGCATTCATCTCAAACACAAAAGAGTTACCAACCCAATGGAAGATAACCTACCTTCAGATTTGGTGTTAAGACAGGAAACTTTGGTCCTTCAATGGTTCGAATCCCCTCAAGAACATCTTTTGCATCTGCAAGCTACAATTTGTTTTAGCATCGCCAAACATTAGACAAGGTTCTGATCTTGCATGAATTAAATAGGAGCCAAGCAGACACGTTTTCTCGTGCTTCAAATTCTTAAAAACTAACAAGATGTAATAATTATTTGTCCCACTGCACACTAGTCTCTACAACTTTTTCTATGGCCAGTATAATGGTGATAACAAGAAAAATGACAAAAAGCCTTAATTCTACAGAGCGGAGTCATACATGCAGGAAGAATGACAGAAACTGTTGTTTCTAAAACTTGGAAGTTATGTTTAATTTGAAAATATGAACAAACAATAGTGATCATCATTACTACTAATAATCCTGCTATAATCACCATCAAGAGGTGCACACATCACCTGACTCGGCCTAAAGAATGAAAAGTTCAGAGAGAAGCGGAGAAGCACCACTATTGAAGCTTTAAAAGGGAGGAAAAGTTCAAAAGAAAAGAAAACTCAAGTTTCACATCAACAAACAAGCATATGAAAATTAAACACTTTCTCTACCTGTGGTACCCACTTTGGTGACACAAAACTAGTAGCTTCAACAACTGGTAGTCCTGAAGAAACAAGCATTTTTATCAGCTCAACCTTCACGGCAGTAGGTACAATTTCCTTCTCATTTTGCAGTCCATCCCTTGGGCCAACTTCCACTATCTTTACAAAACTAGGAAATGATGCAGGGATCTGCAATCAACAGTCTAGCCATATCAGATAACTTGAAATCTACAATGCCATGAACACAAGATTGTGATATGTCCGACGTCAAAAGAAAACCTATAATGCCAGAAAGAATTTGCTGAAAAGAAAAAAATAAGTTTATTGCCGGAGATAGAAACATCTTGTTACAGGAGAGTAAATAACCTTGCTTTTTAAATCAATAGAGGGAGTGCCATTGCTCTGAGAGCTAAAATTACGTGGCATCATGCACACTCTTTGATGTCCTTGATTCAAACAAATATTTGACAGTCTATCCATTTTCGGCCTGTTTCTTTGAGCTGCCTTTCTGGTGAAGTCCCTATAGAAACCAAATTCAAAACATTAAAAGGACAAAAATCAAGAAAGATAGCCAACTATACACAAACTTGCTATCTCTCTTGCTAGTTACTATCAGGATCAAAAGTTCTCACCTCGTGACAGGAGCCAAAAAGATCATGATGGCTCACATCCTCAAACAAGATAGATTAAACTGATGTATGAAAACTCAAACTCAAATGAGAAAGATTCTAAAGTTGAGTCATAGATTACAGCCTGAAATTTTCTTTAATCAGTCTCATTTGAAAGAAATTGATGCAGATACTCCATCCCCTTCCAAGGAAACAAAAACACAGAAGAAACTCTAATTTCTAAACTTTTCATATCCCAGAACAGGAGTCCTCTTCTGAATAAAATACCCCATGAGGTCCATTAGGATAAAATGGAAAATGTTTTCTGAGTGGTGCATTAATTGCGTTTATTATAAGTACAAAATATTGTATCCATCCAAAATTGGACTCTCGCGTCGGGGAGAAGACTCTATTTTTGTGTTTCTTGTTGTTATCTTGCTCCAAAAATCTAGCTATTCACAACCTCATCAGACACATTAATCGATTCAGGCTTTTAATCTTATATCATGTCGCTCAACTTCATCCAGACTATAAACTTTTGCATCTTCAACAAGGTCGAACTGTCAAAACTAAGCACCCCAAAGCCCCATAAAATTCTAGCTTAAACCAAATTGTTTTCAGTTATTAGATTCAAGGTAAGGGTGTCTCAAAATACCATAATGGTAAAACTTTGAACCAGAAACTTTAAATTTACATACTAGGCTATAGTACAGTCATCTCTTGTAGAACATTTTCAACATTCTGCATGATTCTAAACTTATACAGAAGAGTCTAATTCATCTGTGGTGTAATAACAGGGCAGCTCTCAAACCCTGAATAATGCAGTACTATCCATGCAATTTCAAATTAATACATAAACCAGTGAATTAAAATTTCTAATTTTCCTTGCTATTCTTGGTAAGCTGATTGACACAACTGGATCACTGGAATTCCCGAAATTTCAATGATAATTTCAAAAACAGGAGTTTTTCTCTAACCATTTTTTTTTCTAAGTTTGGCTTATACTTTATCGACATAGTCACAATATTCGAACTACACAAATTATCTAGAGAAGAAAAACAACTCAGTAAAAGATCAAAGACAAAATGTTTCAGTGTTAAGAATACTGGGTATAATACTCCAAATCATGAACTTACTCCATATGCTTCTCTGGGAAACCATAGTTTCGCCCTTTTTGACGTTCGATATTATCTGTGTCCATGGTATAAACACCATTCAAAGTATCTGAAAAGCAACAACCAACTGCGTTCCTACCACTGCAGCAATCTTCATTAGCACCCAACGGCCTCTTATAAGCTTCCAGCGGTGCACTAAATTTATGGGACGCAAAGGACCTCCACTTTGAGACTTTATCGATGGCCTTAGCTGCTAACATTTGAAATAAAGAATTCACTGCATCAAAACAATAAAATGAGGTCAACCACCCTTAAGTTTTTTTTTAACAGATATTCAATACAAAATATACAACACTTGCAGCCCCTTCACTTACGACTGCACAAATTTGAGTTTACATGATTCTAAATCGTGTGAAAAAATCACTCCAATGAAGAAATTTCACTCATTTCAACTTTCTTTGAAAACAGACAACAAGAATTCAGCATTGATCACTGATCAGTGTATGGCAATAGCAGTATGAAGTCGAGAAAGCTTCCGTCTTCTCTATCTTTCACAGAAAACCCAAATCAGCTAAACATAAAATTTGATAGAAAAATTTAAACAAAAAATTAAAACGAAGCTTAAAGCAACATAAAGATTTCGCATCCAATCAATTACAGGAGGCAATTGAAACAGAAATGGAACCCAGTTCACAAACAGAAAAGAATCGAATGAACAATTAAAGGCCAAAAAAACATTACCTCTGCAGAGTAGAATTTTTTACGAGCTGCGATTTTCCAAGGGACAGAGGACACGGAAGTGGCAGAAAATTCGAATATCATGAACAGGATCTATCCTTATGGCAAAATGATGAAACGAAATCGCGAATAGGAAGTGCTTTGCCTTTTTGATACTTGATACTTTTGTTTTGTCAGGAAGGAATCGAAAATGTTTATGCGTTTTGATAATTAGTTACTAGTACTACTTACCCGCACGAGGTCGGAGTTGTAACGATTTTTAGTTTAAAGTTACCCAATTAATTACTAAAAAGTAAAAAGTTATTTACTCGTCGTTCACGTAATTTTGTGATTTTTCTTTTGTTTATAAAATTATCATATTTTCAAATTCATTTTGAAAAAAAAAAAAAGAAATTTAAACCAGCCAAAATATGACGCCTGAAACAATAATTTCAAAATATTGTTGTCGAAGTTTTATTTAAATCTCTCAAATTAATTAAAAAGTTCTAATAGAGAGTGAATTATGTCCTGACAAAGTAGAGACTGTTGATCACCTGTTGTTCCAAAGCACTTATGTTCAGAAACTGATCAACAGCTTAATGAACTGGCTGAGTCTGAAAATGAATTTGATATGCTTAAGAGATGAAACTCAGAGAGAGATTGTTGAAGACATGGAGACATCAGCAACCTAAGTAGAATATGCTTTTTGTAGTTATTAATACAACAGTTTACAGGATCTGGAATGAACAAATGGTAGGAAGTTTCAGAAAGCAAATAAAGGACCGGAATGAAAGGTTCAGAGAAATTAAGAGAGTTTTGACTTCCAGAAATTAATTCTTTTGTCGTAATATTTCAAATGTTAATTTTTTCAACAAATTTGGAATATTGTTGTAAATATATGTAATAACTGCTCGTAGGCATGTAAATGGTTGAGTTTATAATGCATTATTTACCCTTTACAAAAAAAAAAAACACTTATAATATAGATTAAAATTTTATCATAAGATGGCTTCAAACATGAAAGGAATTTTTTATGTATTTTTTTAAAAGAAATTATGCTTAAAATATGAAAATGTTGCCTGTTTAATCAATTGAAATAGTTTTAGTTTCTTTTGGAATTAAATGTCATTGCATATTTGACAAGGAAATATAGTGAAGAAATCAAACATCACCACCATTTAAGTGGTTTTCAAATAGCAACTATGATGTTATCCGGGAGAGACCATTATTGGATGTAATTCTAAATTATGATGATCATTATATCATCCATAATTTCAATAGTGGAAAATGGTTCATTAAGTGGTTTGTGTATTTCATGATTATGCTCAAGAAAAAACTTTTGGTTGGGGAGATGGGTTTTGAGTTTGGGTCGGTGGTATGCATGATCACATTTCTTATCACATAAACCAAGATTATAAGGATATGAGGAAACAAATCCTAAAGGTTAATGAGCATCTTTCTTGTGTACTTAATTCCTTACAAGAAGGGGACTAAGGACGTGACCGGGAAAGTGACCAAAATGGCCGATAACAGAAGGGGCAACTGAAAATGCGTCAAAGGAGGTGTTCGAGGAAGTGCCTAAAGCGATGTTTGAGGAGATGGTGCATGACGAGTCATAAATTAACCTTAGGTTTATTGGGTCTAGGATTAAATTATTTGCAGATTAAGCCACCACCTAAATCTATTTCGCTAGGGTTTCAAGAAACAGGTAACACCACCTCTATATAAAGAGGGCCTCTCTCATAATTCATATCTTCTACCTATGTTCTACACCTTCTACATACGATACACATCCTTCTCTCTTTACTCTCTTTATTCTCTAATTGAATTCAGAATTGGAGCGTCTACCCTCGGGAGACACCCAAGGCTCTGTCTTGTAGGTTTTAGGCCGTCCGCCTCCGCCTAGGTCATCATCGCCGCCCGTCCTAAGCACCATACAAATCCATGCTTCATCAAGTGGCACGCCCAGTGAGACCGATTTGTTTGGTCCTCACAACCAAATAAATTTCTTTGAGGAGTACGGAATTTTTTGGTGTTCCTGGATTATTATGGCGTCAATCTTTCCACCCTTGAAAGACTTTGTTATTTGTTATTTGGCGTCAATTTGGATTTTGCTTTGCCTGAGAATCAGCCAGTTGATTAGTACCAGCCAAGAGGCAGCCCAAAGAAGAATTCAACCGTGCTAGTAATTCAAGGAGCTGCGTTGATCGAGAAGAAATTCTGCAATCTCAAAAAAATTGCAGATTGATCCCTCAAATTTTAAACTTTGTTAATTTGGACCCCTAAAGTTTTTAACTTTGTAGAACAATCCCTAGAGTTCAAAATCAGTCGAAAGGGGTAGAATATTCAATTAGTTCACTTAACTTTGAAGCAAGGGGCAATCTCTGATATGGAAGTTTTGAGAGATACTTCTCCTCGAAGGGGCATGCATCCCTCGAGCACCATACTACTACTCGAAGTGTTCGAGAAAATGTATCTCGACTTTTGTCTACTCAACTACTACCTTCTTGGAATCGAGATAACACCTTCTTGAATAATCAATTTATCTCAAGATCGAGGTACATCTCAAACCTTGTCATTATTATATGCTTCTTGAACATAAATTTGTATATCATTGATATCATAATTCTTGTCATAAGCATATTATTCATGTCATATGAAAATATCTTTTTGAGCACGATCAAAGGAGTTCTTCAAATTATTAACCCTCTTGCTGTAAAACCCTATCACCCTTCAATGAGGAAAACGTACTCGGGGGCACAAACAGGGATATACCCTAGGGGCAAGGAACTTGAGGGATCATCCTAACATCCTCTGCTAGACTGATATTCTTCACGAGCATCTTACACTACATGTCATTATTATATAATATTGCATCTCGATGATCCAAACACTCGCGGTCCACCGTGCAAACAAGGATACTCGCGGTCTACCACGCAAACAAGGATACTCGCGGTCCACCGCGTAAACAAGGACACTCACGGTCCACTGCGCAAACAAGGATACTCGCGGTGCACTGCGCAACCAAGGAAATCTCTAACACAAAGACCTATCAAGGTATTCTATCTCTCTTTATCTTATATAGGTGACACCCGAGAACGAAAGAGTTCGAGAACTGGGGCAACACTACAAAACTCGAAGAAACATCAACACTCGTAGCAACCCATATTCCTCTCATCAAGTCTTGAGAATATGGCTTGCTAGGGGCACTTGACGAGTCATAAATTAACCCTAGGCCTATTGGGCCTAAGATTAGATTACTTGGAGATTAAGCCACCGCCTAAACCTATTCCGCTAGGGTTTCAAGAAATAGGTAACATCACCTCTATATAAAGAGGTGGTGCCTCTCTCATAATTCATATCTTCTACCTATCTTCTACACCTTCTACACACGATACACATCTTTCTCTCTCTACTCTCTTTATTCTCTTATTGACTTTAGCATCAGAGCGTCTACCCTCGGGAGACACCCGAGGCTCTGTCTTGCAGGTTTTAGGCCGTCCGCCGCCGCCTAGGTCATCATCGCCGCCCGTCCTAAGCACCGTACAAATCCATGCTTCGTCAGTGCCCCAGGTTCAAAAAATTCCTGTTGACCAAGCCAAAGAACTAAATTTTTAGCAACAATTTTCAGAAGGTAAGTCCATATATTTTATGTTTGGTGAATGTTGACGACGAGTCATAAAATAAACCTTAACCCTAATGGGTTTGGGCCGGCTACCTTGGAGGCTAAGTCACTGCCTAAACCTATTACGACTAGGTTTCAGGATACAGGTAACACCGCCTCTCTATAAAGAGGTGGTGCCTCTCCCATAATAATATTTTCCAACTATCTTCTACACCTTCTACACACGATACACATCCTTTTCTCTCTACTCTCTTTATTCTTTTATTAACTTAAGTATCGGAGAGTCTACCCTCGAAAGACACCCGAGGCTCTGTCTTGCAGATTTCAGGCCGTCCGCCGCCACCTAGATCATCATCGCCCCCGTCCTAAGGCACCATGCAGATCCATGCTTCGTCAGTTGATATGTTCTCAAAAGAGTTTGTGGTTTTTCGGCCATTCCATATCTTTTTCCGTCTTTTTGGTCTACAGTTGTCACATGCAGAGAAAGCAATATCATGGCATCGATTATTCGCTTGTTATATGCTGCAAGATTTGAGGACAAATCTTTTCGAGAAAAAGGAATGATGTGATCCACGAGAGACCATTGGTTGTAATTCCAAATTATGATGATGATTATATCATCCATAATTTAAATCATGGAGATGAAAGATTGGTTCCAAAAGTTATGATTTAAAGGCTATTCGAGTTTGTTTGCACTTAGGGATCTAATTACAAAATCAGTAAAAGTTTTGGAGTCAATTTATAATGAAACTTTAGAAACTTGAAATGAAATATAGCATTTTCCTTTTAGGTGCAGGTGGCTGTTGTACGGTGCCCTAATTTAGTTTATAAATAGATTAGTTTACTTAGTTTTTTTTGAAAAAGACAATTATGAATTTTGATTGATCTTTGGTAAAAAATGAACGAGGTTCTTTTGTGTTAATTTTGCTCGATTAATTTTGTGTATAACCTTGAATTTGGGGTCTTGCAAACCGCGTAAATACATTTATTCAAAATTTAGTGTTTCTCAATTTGGATATTACGTTTGTTGTCTGTTTGAAATAAATAGGCGTGTTTTCATCGCAAAGTAGAGATATAATTGAAACATTCTATCAGAGTTTCGTCTCTAAATCACTTCTTCCATCTTTTTGTCTACCATATTTTGTGTTTTCAATTCAATTCATCCTTGAATCAGAATATTCTGATATTTTGGTATGTCTTGATGCATTTGAGATTGAACAAGAACAAGAACAAGTCTTTATGCCCTTATTTAATACAAGTTTCTACTATCGTAGAGTTGTGCTATATTGGATCAAAAGCTTTACACCAAACTAATTATTGATGACTTTGACGACACTTTACCATTTCTTTAATGATGGTAAAACAATAATCTAACCGAATTCAATTGTGAGAATCAATAATCAAGCAAGCCAAGCAGCTCTTTCGTATTCTCAGTTTCACAACATATTAGGTAAGTAACCTCTGAACATCATTCTTAAAGTTCAAATTATGTTTCTCTAGCTACTATCGCTCTACTACAAAAAATAAAATGCATTACACAGTTAAGGACAACACTGAAATAAAAATACTCCATTTCATTCATGGCGAATTTTGTTACAATAGGTCCTAACCTCAGCAGTTGAATAACAAGATTCATAAAAAGAATGTTAGCAAGGAGCTAACTTCTATCTACTACGCAATCTTCAGCGTTTATGGAAAATTACAAACTCAGTACTCACAGCCAGCAACATTGAATCATTATGTGGGCTGCGACAATTAGGTAGTAACTTAAAGAGAGGAGAAAATTGGAATACCAGCTAAGGTGGTTCCGGCATCCACGATAAAATTGTTACCTGATACATATTCAGATGAGTCGTGGACTAAGTATCGTATAAGTGATGTCAATGCTGGATCTACAGTGCCATAATTTCTCAATGGAACAGTTCTGAGAGCAACATTCTTGAGCCAATCCTTTTGCATGAGGCCCTCGGTTATCTCAGACCTGAATAGTCCAGGAGATATTGAGTTTACTCTTATCTTGTATTCCCCCAACTCCATGGCCATAATCTGTTCATCATTTAAATATCCAGAAAGATAAAAGAAAAGATTATGGAGCTGAAATTCAGTTGGTAAAAGAGAAGTTAAGAAATAGAGATGTTTCTACAAGAGAGCAGGAATGGGATTTAACAATTACATCTATTAACTGCGACTATGAAAAATAGATTTCAAAGAAAAGGAAAAAAATATATGAAAATTAAAACAAAAGGTCAAGAGGGCACCTTTGTCATAGTGTTAACTGCAACCTTTGAAGAAGCATATGCAAACCCACCAGGCAACTGCCCACGAGTTAGTCCAGCAATGGAGGAAATAAAGATAACACATCCCCCTTGCTTAGCATCACGCATGCGCAAGCATACATACTTTGACACCAACCAATTACCAGTCATATTAGTTTTTATGATACTATCCCATTCTTCCTGCGAGAGATCCAGAGGAGTATGTACACGTCCTGCATTCCATATTAAAAGGGACGTAAAGAAACAATTACTTCCGAAAATCAGTTCACTACAACTTTTCAGGTTCAGCAGGGTATGCTAGACAACAAATGAACATTGAAAGGATATCGAGAAGGACAAACAGGATATCTATCTAATTCATAGGAGAGCTTCACCAGATTCGTAATTATGTTTTACTAGGGTTCTTATTGTAAGCATCAATAACAGAAACACAGGCAGGTGTTTGTCAAAAAACCATTATAGAGAAAATTGCGCCAAGTCCCATTAAGAACCTAACGACTTAACTATAATAAACAGTAACACACTTGGACATTAACCTGTACGCACAATTTTTGAGCTAAACCTTGTAGGGTGCATGTCACCATCAACTCATCAAGAGCATGTTCATGTAAGCTGGGCAATCGAAACACATATACTAAAAAATTAGCTCTGCCACGTGCCATGATCTGGCGAAATGTGGACAGATCTAAAGGAACTTCTGCATTCAACATCGAGGAAAATAAACCCAGACAATCAGCAAGAGTGAGGGAAATGTAGCAGAAGTTAAGAGTCACCAGCCAGCTTCCAAGCCAATTTCTCCCAAAATGATTTCTTGTTATTTCTGCCCTTAGTTCATTCCAAGTCCTCAGACAAATTGTTCAGTAAACATTACTACAAGTGATGCCATTAGTGAAAAAGTAATCTTCCTATCAGCAGCAAGGAAGTTACCAATAAAGATAGACAATCAACAGAGCTCCAAACTTTGCAGAAAGTTCAGACTGAGTTTCGGTCAAATTCCAACCCAACTTTCCCAAAATTTTCTAAGTCATTTCTGCTTTTCAGTTTTTGAAAGATTGAACATTTCAACTCAAATCATCAATCACCTACTTTGTTTAAAGTCATACCAAACAATACCAATAGTGGAAAGTAATCTTCAAATCCACAAATCTGTATTACTAACTTCCTCAGTTCTCCATATCAACTAAAACACAACAAAGAAAAGGAAAAAAAATGGTGCTTATATCCCATTATCTAAGGTTAGCTTCAGGAATACGTATATTTGCAAAATTTTCTTCATAGCTGGACTTTCTACAATGCTTGTTATTTCCATTTTTTTTCTGAAATCAGGACTCTCGCACAACCATTATCACTATCACCAATAGATTAAATATGCAAGAAAATAAACTGAAATCTGCACGGATCGGAACTCTTCAAGTAACAAGAGATTGCAAATGCCAAGTCATTCATAGCCTGCCACTCCCAAACTGTTATGCATTGTACAACAGATTTTGTGTTCAAAATGATATAAAAATACATTAAACACCGCAGCAATTAACTTTAGCATGGAAGATTGCAAATAGAAACCATCATTCTTGAAAACAATCCTTTAAAGTTCAGAAATCCAATATGACTCAGGCAATCACAGATGACAGAACCATTTAGAAAAAAACACAAAAATTACCTCGAACCCCAGCGTTATTGACCAAAGCATCAATACGTCCAAACGCGTCCCAAGCTTTGCTAACGGCAGCTTCAATGGCCGGCCCATCAGAACCCAGGTCCAGCTCAATCGGGACGGCTTTCAATTGACCGGAGGAGGAATGATCCGATGAGGAAGAACCCATTTGGTTAATCTGATCGCAAAGGGCTTTAAGCCGATCAATCCTACGAGCGGCGGCGATAATTTTACAGCCGGCTCGGGCCAGGTCGAGGCAGAAGTCCTTTCCGAGCCCAGAGGAAGCGCCGGTGATCATAACCACTTTACCGCTCAGCTCCGTCCATGGCTCCAACTGGGTTGTCATTTTTAACGGGTTCTGAGAAATGCAAAAGAAACAAGGGGGCCTGGGGGCATATAGGCGATTGTGAAAGGGAATTGATAGAGTTTGTAACTTATATCAGATGGGGGAACGAGAGCAAGCTCTTGCCTACCGCAATTTTGTCTGTTTTCGGTTGTTTTGCTCAGTTTTGACTTTTGATTGACCTGTTCTTTCTGATAGTGACATTTTTAATTTTTCTTTCCCTTACACCGATCTCCAAATTATTATTATTATTTTTTATTACTCCTCGTCAAGTTCAAATTAGAAATATAATTTTGAAATAGTGGAGTTCATTTTTTTTCTCCATTAACTTCTACTATTTTCTTTTAAGGTTTGGTAACAAGAGGAAAAAATTGGCACATCTACAGAAAATTTTGTCTCTTTTGCCAATCTTTTCTTATTGATTTTCATTTAACCTATATTACCTCTATCTACGACTTTTTCGTCCAATTGGCATCATTTTTATTTTTTTCTGTTTTTATTCTATTCTCTTTACTACTTTTCATACCTATAAAAATATATTATATGATCTTTAAAGAAATACTCCTTCTGTCCCAAAATTATTGTCCAATTTGAAGTTTTACTTTTAGTATAATTTGAACTAAAAATGAAAACTCAAACTGGACAATAATTATGGGACGGAGGGAGTATTACTTTATTTGCAAGCTTTATTCTACAAATTAATCTTTTCATATTTGTAACTCGTGGTTATAAACATGTTAACTTTTTAAATAATATAGTTTAGAAGTAAGTAATGATACTATTTTTCTAATCCGCTTTTTTTTCCTAATCAAAGAATAGAAACATTAAACTAAAACTAATATTTCACATAAAAATTAAATATTTAGCTTAGATTACAAAATAATTTATTAGTATATTATAGTTTATTATAATTTAACTCAAGAGACTATAAATAGGACGAAATTGACGAAAAAGTCATAAATACAGATAATATAGACTAACCGAAAATCAATAGGATAGAATTGGCGAAACATGTAAAATTTGTGGTAGATCCGTCAATTTTTTTGTAACAAGAGGGATAGTCTCTGTTTCAACAAATACTTCTTGTAAGGTTAGCGACAAAAGGGATAGTCCCTATTTTAACAAACACTTACGGTTCGAAATCACTGTCCAACTCCATACTAATCTGCATGTTTTTGTTTTAATTCATGCAATAGTTTAATTGATCCTAATACTTACGCGGCCTGAATAAAGTTCTTACTGATAATGTTGATGTCTATGATTGTCTCGGTGGTCTAAAACTAAAAATCGAACAAAAGATATATTTTTTTTCTAAAAATTATTATCTATTTTGAAAATTTCACTTTTGGTATAATTTAAACTAAAAGTAAAAATTCAAACTTACAATAATTCTTTCGGCCACTAGTTGTGGGACTGGAAACCGGATCAAGGCCTGGAGAAAATAAAATGAATAAATCACTCCATCTTTCACCAACTGAGGTGTACTAATTCGTGAGAGACCTCATAACGAAGCCTGGATTTGTACCGACGTCTCCAGTTGATTGAACCGGCGGTCATGGCGGTATCAAAATCCTAAAACCTACAAAAGAGGGTCTCGGCGTCTCCCGAGGGTAGACACTCCGATGCTTAAGAAGAGTAATTGTAATAGGGGTATGAATTGTAGCGAACGTACCTTTGATGTGAGGGGTTGATCCCTATTTATAAAGCTAGGTTATGAAACCCTTTCTTGGTAGGAAAGTAATTAGGAACTGACCTAGAAGTTTTCGAATAGTTGGTTGGATCGTTTCTCAAGCTTGGGTCAGCTATGGTTGAGGGCCGCATACATTAGACTCATCAAGTGTCCCTATTAAGCCTATATTTCAAAGTATGAAGATAGTGTAGGCCTGATAACATGAGGTATAAATTTTCCTCAAGTTCGAGAATAACTGACTTGAATCGAGAACCTGCGACAGGTTAGCATCGAAGAGAAATCAAAGTAATGAAAGCATTAGCGCGTACCTTGTCGAATGTACGTGTCACAAAGGGCGATTGACATTTATGCCAATTTGTGCAGAAAGAAGAGTCATCAGTTCAAACTTTCAAGCGAGAAGTCGGTAGGTGATGATCTTAATAATCTGCCCTATGGAGATACTAAGGCAGATGCCTTGTTGCATGAGAAGATTATAAAGAGATGTAGTGGAGATGTCCACTACTCGGAATATGAAGATGTGTTATCAATAACTTCCAAAGGTTCAACGACTGTCAGAATGAAGAATCTAGTCAAAAATTGCAATTCACGTCATTGACCCAGTTGTTAGTCGAGAAGGCCTTGCACGATGAATTTCACGTTATGCTCGAGGGAAATATTGAAACAGATGACCCGCTCCTTAAAAGAATCGAGAAAGAAACGTAGTGGAGATTCCCACTAGTCTCAAAATATGCACCATTAGTAGCGACTAAGATATATCAACCGTTGAAATGAGGAAGCTACAGGAGAACTGTGACGTATGCTTCTGATCAAGAGGTAATAAATCCAAACCTTGAGAACAACCACAGAGTAGTGGATTGAAAAACATCATGAATGAAGATAGAATATTCCGTTGATAGTGGATGTCGAGAACATAAGTTTGATAAGGGACATTGTCTGGGATTGAACCGCACGTCGAGAACTTGCCCCAATGTGACCTTCTGTTACGAAATCCAGAGAGTCAAGACTGTCACCATAAGCATCTCCGATTGTCGAGGAGAGACAGGAGAGAGTAGAAGACATCGTAGAAGATGCCGCATGTGATTGCATTAATGCATGGATAGTGAGACTCGAGAAGATTCTCTCGAGCAAAACTCCAGAAAGCATTCAAGAGTTATAACCATCTGACCTTGAAGAAGGTATACAAGCATTTAAGCTTATTTATATCTACCAACCGACCTGCTTACCATTTCTCATGTCCCGAGAAATAAAGCATAGAACCTTTAGTTCAGATTGAGAAGTATAAATCAGGTTGACATGTCGAACCCGAGTAGATGTGTAATATCGTTGCTCGAAGCGCGAGCAAGAATCAAGGAGATTGTACTCATTAGTATGAGAAGAAACTGTGCCCCAGTCTGAGCATTAATTGAAGACCGTCGAGAAAAGTCATAGGAAGAGATCCATAGACCCAAGATCATCATAAAAGAAACAAAGACACAACCTCCCAAAAAACTTACACACCTTCCAGACGCCTTACACACCTTCCAGACACCTTACAATCTCTCATATATAAACGTTCCTTGTTATAGATAACCTCAGAACCATTACTCATCTCGGAGCCCCAAGTCCTGGGATGGCATTTGGTAGACCGAGACTTTTAGATGAGAATGTAATTTCTGCTGCTCAATTTGAGGCGGTGCCTGATCAAGAAGCCCCCTTACTCATAGGTTTAAGGAAATAAAATGACGTCTATCAAAAGGAGATGGATGACAATCGAAGAAATAGGCCTGTATTGACAAGGCACAAAGTGAACTCGAGAACATCAAGAATAAAGTTATTTTCTTTATGATGCATTGGATGATATAGTAGATCGATCCAAGAAAGTATACTCGAGAACAAGTCTTGTTCTCATTGAGGTATAAAACCCGCATTGTTAGGTTTGAGGGATAGTCCACCCCTTGTTCATGAACATGGCAATCTAGGCCTTTCTCAATACCGGATGTCGAGTACACAGCTTATGAGTTATTTGTAAAGCGCTTATATTTTCCGGACGTTAAGTACACAACTCTTTAATAGGCGATCCTAAAGAGGATACCTTTGCATAGATGATTCTGAAGAGAATTTGTTTTCAAGGTCGATCCTGAAGAGGATATCCACGAGAAAACTGGATACGAGCTCCTCAAGTTTAGACCATTAGTCGTAACAGTTAAGGGTAGCATGGACCCAATGAATGTCCGGATGTTGAATACACGACACTTTCGAGGACGGTCCTGAAGAGGATGTCCGTCTCGAGAATGATCCTAAAGAGGATGTCCGTTCAAATGACTAGTCATGTTTAATTGGGTGTAACCGGATAGATGCAATACGCCAGCTCCCATGAGTACTCGAGTGGGCTACCACTATGTGCATTAGACCGATAGTCTATATCTTGGGTTTAAAGTATAAATGCCCTAAGGTCAGAGCGGACTTGATGTTGCTGTTTTCCTCGATGGATCATCTGCTAGAGTTATGTTTCTCTGCCTTTTTTGCCCCTGAGTTCTCGGGGTATGTCTATCCTGCAACTTAGTCCGAGACATGTATTGCAAGTATAATAATGAAATGTTTATGCAAAGAGTGTGAAGTTCATCTAATAAGAACATAAAAAGGCTCTCGAACCTTGGAAACATTCAGACGAATATGTCGTTCTCTTTGATCAAGGATTCATACCCAAAAGCTCATTTGAGCATACCTTAGTTTAGAGGAAGAATTCGTCTGAGCCTTTTCATGATGATTGTCGAGGATATATCATTCTGATGGTGATGCCTCTCGAGCACAGACACCATGATAAACTAACATGGTTCTCTGATCTTGACAAACCACTTACTCATGCACTTGTTGATTTATTAGTGAGTAATAAATTATCGAAGCACGAGAAACGGCATAGAATGAAATATATTATTGAGGGACTCTATCCCCTTAAAAAATAGCCATTTTGAGATATAAAATGTAAGAAGTGGAAAGATCTCACCACGATATGAGGAAGGCTATTGAAGCCATGGTTTGGTTAACTCATGATAGCTATGAAAGAATGCTGCAAAAATCGTGCAACGCTTCTCCACGGATTTGTACTTACTACAGACCCCTGAAGAGTCATAGTATATTGACATGGGATTGGACCATCAGATATGAAAGTCTTTGCAGCTTTGGGATAGCACTTCAAGTTAGTTGTTCGGTAGAGTAAATACAACGATCCATTGCGACTCAAGGCTCAAGAAAGAGGAACCATCCTGCACTATAACCTTTAGAGCATATTACTGACAACTACAAACACGAGAGGGGTATCTACCCCCTTTCAAAAGGAAAGAAAATAGACATGACTTGGCTATGGACATTAAGATAGGTC